GGATGGTGGCTTAACCTTTTCTTATACTGAAGACCTTGTATAAATTGATAAAATTAAGATAAACACAGCAAAGAAACAGTTAGCAATATTGTTGTAGTCAAATTTATCGGTTTCTTCTTTACATTACAAAAAAGGTGCCCTGTGAGTTGAACTTCCTTTGAGTGGAGCCTGAGACTTTTTTCCCTCCATCTTGTTAATGTCACTCCTATTGAATTTCTTCAGTGTTGTTGTCTGCTTGGTTTTTCAACTTATGTGTTGCCTTACATTGAAGTCTGTGCATTTGAAGGAGTAGGGACCTATTCCAGTCTTCGTAGACTGCTTTGCTTGGGAAATCCCTTCCCTATTCAGTCTACCCAGAGATTCTGGCCAGGTCCTCTAGAATGGTCCAAGGACAGGCTTCTTTCTGGAGTCCTCAGGCTGACCTAGTGCCCAGATCAGCAAGTGGGTATGCAGGGTATCTGTGTCTGCGGGGTTAGGCCTGAAACTAGGACCCATCAGGGTAGACCTGTTGATTAGGACTGCAGGGACAGCCCTGGGACTGGAGCCTACAAAGGCAGGACTGGAGTCTTGGTTCTCTGGAGTCTAAACACCATGGGAAGCAGCCTGGAGCCTGAAAATAGCCTGAAGCCAAGGATTGCAGGTGATGCCACAGTACCTGGAACCACTGGGGTTGTTCTGGAGCCTGGGGCTTTGAGGAATGGTCTGGGGTCTCATTGGTGTCAGCCTAGAGCCTGGGTGTGCAGGTATTGGCCTGGAGGCTAGGTCTGTGGTGGTAAAGCCAGGTTTCTGGAGCCTTTGGGGCCATTATGGGACTTGGGTAGGCAGAGGAATCCAAGAGCCGGGATCTGTGGTAACTGATCACGCTCTAGGGAATACTGAGACAGGCCTTGGACCCTGGGTCTCCCGGAGCATTGGAGCCACAGTGGCCAACCGAGAGGGTGAGATTACAGGAACTGATCTGGCACTGGGCTGGCTTTGAACCTGTATTTGCAGGTGCCTGCCTTGTGTTTGAACTGGTGCTAAGTTGAGCCTGATGTCTTGAGCCACAGGGTGACTTGGCCCTAAATGACCTGGATCCTGAGCTAGAAGGTTAGTCCATTTGTGTTAGCCTGCTAGTGATGATTGTGGTGGGCTGACCTAGGGCTGGGGCAAGCTTGAAGCCTGGGGCCATGGAGGCCAGCTTAGTGCTGGGACCATCTTGAGGCTGAGCTACTAGGGCTGGATGGTTCAGAGCTTGTGGCCACTTAACTTGGTCTGGCAGTGGGCTAGCCTGGAAACCAAGTGCACCCCACAGATGTGGAGCAGCGGGATCCACCCAGGGCCAGGGAAGTCATGGAGGCTCAGTATGTGGATATGAGCTAGAGCCTAGGGCCTGCGGGGGATTATCACGATGCTCCCAAGTTTGTGGTCCAAGGCAAACTCCAGTATTCACTTCCTTTTCCTTCCCACATGCAGAAAGAATCCTCTGTATGCTGTGCTCTCTGGTAGAGGGGAAGTGGGAACTTGGGTCATATAAACCTGTCCTTCCTGGCCTCTTCATTTCGACATTTCTTTCTTTTCTTCACAGGGAATATCATTTCATTACTATAATCACAAAATCATAATTTCTATACAGGAATGTGTAAATGAACATGAATCAAGGCATGGATAATTCATTTCATAAAGAGGGTAAACTTACTACAGAACATATTGTTAAGAAAAAACAATGGGGGGGGGGAAGCAATTGTAATCCATAAGCTGTACTTTGGAAATTTATATTCATTAAATAAAAGTTAAAAAAAAGAAAAAATAGTGTAACACTTTCTCATCTTGCAGTGCACCTTTTAGTGCAAATATCTAAGACATAATTCTATTCAATTCAGCAAAGTATTGCAGAATGTTGTGCCACCATCCACTTCATTCAAAGAGGGTCAAGAATTGCAGCTTATAGTACAGTGTCAGAGTGTGTATATGAAAAAACCACATGTAATTCATAAAATATTGAGTGGTTTACGTAGGTGGTTTTAAATGATTTCACTGTGGAATTCAGCATAACTGGAACAAAGATCCAAGGTTGTCTTAATAAGAATAATCTTTTTAAAAATATTTATTTTATTTGAAGGGCAGAGAGAAAGAGAGAGAGAGAGAGAGAGAGAGAGAGAGAGAGAATTTTCCATCCACTGGTTCACTCTCCAAATGGCTACAATGACTGTGGTTGAGGTAGGCCAAAGCCAATTGCATTAAGTTCCATCCGGATCTCCTTCATGGGTGCAGGGGCCTGAGGACTTGGGCCATCTTCTATTGCCTTCCCAGATGCATTAGCAGGAAGCTAGATCAGAAGTAGAGCACCTGGGACTTGAACCGGTTGGTTTAACTCGCTGCACCACAATGGCAGCCCCAGCAGGGAAAATCTTATTGCTAGGCAATAGCTTTGGATTCAGGTAGGAATGCCTCCCAGTACCTTATCCGCTGTTGCTGTGTTTGCTCTAATGATTCTAAGTACTTGATAACAGCTTTAAAATCCTTTTCTCATTCTTTCTCAAATCTACTTCTTTTTGAGTCACGTTTGAGATCTGTTCAAAGTCTTTTCCTCCTTCTTGTACTTTTGTTAACGATTTATTTATTTATTTGAAAGTCAGAGTTACACATAAAGAAAAGAGAGGCAGAGAGAGAGAGAGAGAGAGAGAGGTCTTCCATCCGCTGGTTCACTCCCTAGGTGGCCACAACAGCTGGAGGTGGGCAGATCCGAAGCCAGGAGTCAGGAGCTTCCTCCAGGTCTCCCACTGGGTGCAATGGCCCAAAAACTTGGACTGTCTTCTACTGCTTTCCCAGGCCATAGCAGAGAGCTGTATGGGATGTGGAGCTGCCAGGACTTGGACTGGTGCCCAAATGGGCTGTAGGAGCTGTAGGCGGCGGTTTTACCCGCTATGCCACAACACTGGCCCCTCTTCTTGTACTTTTGCTACCCACTCCTTTATCTCATTTATAGCTGATGCTACATTCAGGTGCTATCTTGCCCCATGTATTTAGCACCTGTGAAGTTAATCTTACTAGTATAAAGTAAATTAAAAATAGATTTTTATAAAAAATGAATGGGAATAGGAGAGGGAGGAGGTATAAGGGTGGGTGGGATGAAAGGTAGGATGGGAAGTATCACTATGTTCCTGAATCTGTATATATGAAATACATGAAATTTGTAAATATTATTTAATGTTTTTAAATAAAGAAGAATGGAGGTGGCACAATTTCAGGTCAAAATGAAATGAATGATGGTTTTGAATAAGAGGGAAATATGCACTATGCTAGGTTTCAAGAACCAACTGGATAATTTAAGTCATTATCTGAAGGGCTGCTACAGGAGTCACAATTTATGAAAATAAAGCATCTGCTCCAGTCACAGCATTTTATCAAAGAAGTCACTGTAAAGGAGCCTGTCGCAATGGTGCAACAGGTTAAGCCATGGCCCGCCATGCCAACATTCCATTTGGGCACCTGTCGAGTCCCAGCTGCTCAATTCCGATCCAGTTCCCTACTCATTTGCCTGGGAAAGCAGTGAAAGATAACCCAACCCTGGGCCTCTGCACATGCATGGGAGACCCGGAAGAAGCTCCTGGGTTCCACTTGGCCCAGCCCCAGTTGTTACAGCTATTTGGGGAGTGAGCAAGCAGATGGAAGATCTCTCTGTTTCTCCATCTGTCTCTCTGTCACTCTGCTTTTAAAATAAATAAATAAAGCTTTAAAAAAAAAGGATGAAAAGGAGCCAGTCCAATGTGTTGCTGAAAACCAAGGTTCTAGCCCCAATGACTGAGAATACTATTGGAAAACATGGTGTCTTCTCCAAAGCACACGTGTCAGCAGCTTTCAATAAAGAGGGCTGTTTTCATGATGTTGAGCACTGTCCTGGATACTTCACTGTTGAATAAAAGATGACAGGGAAACCCTAAAACAAAGTAAAGTTGTTGGCCGGGCACTGCGGCTCACTAGGCTAACCCTCCGCTTGTGGCGCCGGCACCCCCGGTTCTAGTCCCGGTTGGGGCGCCGGATTCTGTCCCGGTTGCTCCTCTTCCAGGCCAGCTCTCTGCTGTGGCCCGGGAAGGCAGTGGAGGATGGCCCAAGTCCTTGGGCCCTGCACCCCATGGGAGACTAGGAGAAGCACCTGGCTCCTGCCTTCGGATCAGTGCGGTGCGCCGGCTGCAGCGGCCATTGTGGGGTGAACCAATGGAAAAAGGAAGACCTTTCTCTCTGTCTCTCTCTCTCACTGTCCACTCTGCCTGTCAAAAAAAAAAAAAAAAAAAAAAAAAGAAAGAAAAAAAAAAGAAAGAAAAAAGTAAAGTTGTTGTCTAAGCTCTAGCTGTTCCATTAAGTTATCAGAATACTCCAGGGGGTTTACATTCTCTGGCTGTCTGCTTAACTGAAGCTGGAAGTTTAAAAGCTATTAAGGATTTCTACAAACAGGTATTGCCATTTGTAAATGATGACCCCATTCTCAAAAGAAACCGATCCAGGGCAGGGGTTTGGCCAGGCCTTTAAGATGCCCTTTGTGATGATTCTGTGTCCCCTAACAAAGTGTGTGGGTTTGGGTCCTGGCTCCTACACTTTTCACCCAGCTTCTGTCTGAGGCAGACCCTGGGTGGCAGCTTAAGTACTTGGATCCCCACGACACAAGTGGGAGACCTTGATGGAGTTCACAGCTCCAGGGTGCAACCTGGCCATTTTGTCATTTGGGGGGTAAAGCAGCAAATGAGGCAAGTGGGAGTTTCTCTCTCTCCCTCCCCGAACCCCCTCTTTTTTTTCTCAGATGAATGAATGGCATTGACAAGGAGAAAATCTGTAACGACCATCCCTAATTAGCTTAACAAGATTACAAAAGTCAGAAGACATATAAATATAGAATGAATGTACTTCATATAAATGAAAACCAACAGATTGTTCTTTTTACATGAGAGTTTTAGTTCTCAAAGATATTCAAAGTCTGAAATGCAGCAAATTACAATAACATGCCCTTACATTGGAAATGTTCTTCAGTTGCTAATTTTCCGAAAGTCTGGAATCACACAGACAGTCAGAATGTCATCACAGTAATACGTTTTCTTTGTATACTTGTCTGTTAGCTGTATGCCAGAGATACGCTGTAGTCCCTGCTTTACGAACAGAAGGTTCAGAGGTAAGCACAGTGATGTTCTTGGAGGCAGCTTACCCAGATACTTCCCTCCACGTAAATGCCAATGAACAGCATCTGTATTGCACAAATTCAAAAACAGTTTCATTTTCTGGTCACTGAAGTTTGTTATCTTGCATGTCATGTAGAAAGGCTCTTCCACGATGACCTTATCTGGCATTGATTCCACCGACACACTTATGCTTCTGTAATGGGGAACATCCCTTTCAAGTTGGATAGTCTGTTGTATTGCTGTTTCATGAAGATTTTTCTTCCAGAAAACATTTAGTTTTCCCAATCGGGTTAGTCTTCTAATGGCATCAGAATCCTCCAGAAAGCCACTCTTGAGTTGAAGGAGGCAGAAGTACCGGCATTCATCCATTGGCTGTAGAAAGGTAATTTCTCCAGAGGTTCGCTCATATTCCTCATCTAGGTTGTAGGTACCGACATCCATTCCTGAAAATATTTCAGGTAGAACTAAGGAGACCTTTTCCACAAATACTTCTGAAAGTGAGATATTTTGAATATGAATTTCAACTAATAACTCGTTCTTGTCCAAATTGTGAAATACGGTTCTAACCTCCAATGGTGGGAGGAAAGGAAACAACCACCGATTCTTCAAAAACATCTTCTCTACACCCTGAGTTGATGAGGAACTGAATACTTCTGGGCACTCTTCCTATGTCCCCAAGCCATCAATGGATGACATCATCAATTCTTAGAACTGGATGCAAGTTCCTCCACTGCGGCCATGGAGGCCAAAAGGTCAAAGTTCTGAGTACTTGCCTGAAAAAGGTTTTACAATGTGATGGTTGCAAGTGACTGACTGTGATAGAAAATTATCATACAGCTGCAATTCTTCCCCCATCTCAAAGACATAGATGTGAGGGTTTGTGTGGAGGTCACCTATGCCAGGAACATCTACATTTCTGTGGAAGGCCACCTCTCATGAGATGCTGCGAGAAATTAACAGCTCAGTAACTGTCTTCACAAGGATTGGAAAGTTGGTGAACAAACTGTGCTTAGTGGACAGCATCATTTTGTGTATCAGAAAGATGCCCGGTCTGTTAGGCAATCACACAAGTAAGCTTTCTACTGCCTCTAGGGATTACCTGGGCCTGGGAAAGTTATTCTCTTCACAGACAGCAAGGTCCCAAAAGGGCAAAACATCACAATATACAGACATTAAAACCACATGATTAATACACTCACTGGCATGATGGCTGGAGCTAGGAAGTATATGCACTGGATCTTTGTCCTTAATGTGTTGTACTATGCAAATTAACGGTAAAAGTACTACTCAAACAGTACTCTATGCTTTGTGTGTCTGTGTGGGTGCAGTCTGTTGAAATCTTTACTTAGTATATACTAAGTTGGTCTTCTGTATATAAAGATAATTAAAAATGAATCATGATGAATAATGGGATGGGAGAGGGAGTAGGATATGGGATGGTTTGTGGGTGGGAGGGTGGTTATGGGGGGAAAACCGCTATAATCCAAAAGTTGTTCTTTTGAAATTTAAATTTATTAAATAAAAGTTTTCTTAAAAAGAAAAAAAAAGGAATAGCACACTAAGAAGAGGATCTGGCCTTAACTAAACTCCTACATCTACCACAGTCCAACCTATAGTATATAGAACCAATAGGGAAAACAGATTAGCTAGCTATCTAGGTAAGTAGCTGGGGGTGGAGAAGGAGGGAGGAAGGGAGGGAGAAAGAGAATATTATTGGGATTCTGGGATAAAGCTTAAATGATTGTGGGCCTCATTTTATAGCCATTATCATGCTTTCTCTGTATTTGAGGGAAGTGCTTAAAGTCCATAGAGCGACCAGTTAGGGAGGGGAGATTTTGACCAGGCTGGAAAGCAAAAAGCATAATCTGCAAGCCCACAGGATGGACTGAAGCCCATGTTGGCTTGTGATGCATATGAGCTTGGTGCTAGTATCCTGCAGAAGCCAGGGCCCCCTGTGCTGGAGAGACAACTGCCTCATCGCCTGTTCCATTTTGAGCTGACTCAGCATATAATCAGTAACAGGTTTGTGTTACAAAATGACGGCTGGCTCCCTTCCACCTTTGAAATCTTGGAAAAAAACATCCCTTGTGGCCCTCTTGACCTGGAAATATACAGTCACTGAAATTCTGGGAAATGCAGTTCATCCCAGTAATTAATATTTTACAAATCCATCAATAGCTTCCATCCGTACCACCGTGCATTTTTGTGTATGCACATACTGGGAAATGAGAGACGTGGTTATCAAAGGAGACTGGATTCTACCCACAGAATGGGTCATTCTATCTACCTTATTATTGAAATTCTTTTCTATTCGGGTCACCTTTTGGTCAGTTTTCACACTGAACACTAAGATCTTGATGCTGCTTGGCAAATTCAAGTGTTCTGTCCACATATGTCATCCCCATAGCTCCCTTTTTTTTTGAATTTTATTTAAGGTAAACAAATTTCATTTATTTCATGTATACAGTTTTAGTAACATAATGATACTTCCCACACTACCCTCCCTCCTGTCCACACTCCCCACCCACCCTCCTTCTCCTCTATTATTATACAATCTCTTAATTTTTACAATGTTTGTTTCAGTGTAGTTTATATGCATAAGAATAATCCTACACTAAGTAAAGAGTTCAACAAAGAGTATGTAAAAAAAAAAAAAACTGTTCCTCAACAGTAGAGACAAGGGCTGTAAACAATCATCAATGCTCTAAATGTCAATTTCAGTCCTATACGTTACATTTTTGTGTTCTTTTATATTTCTTTCTTTAATGTTTTGTAATTTTCATTGTAGAGAACTTTCACGTCCTTGGTTACATTTATTACATGGTATTTAATTTTTTTGTAGCTATTGTGAATGTGATTGATCTTTTTTCTCAGCCATGGTATTGTTAGTGTATACAAAGGCTATTTATTTTTGTGTTAATTTTATATCCTGCTACTATACGAAACTCTTTTATGAGTTCCAATAGCCTCTTAGTGAAGTCTTTTGGATTCCCTATATATAGAATCATGTCATCTGGAAATATTGATAATTTGACTTTCTCCTTTCCAATTTGTATCCCTTTGATTTGTTTTTCTTGTCTAATGGTTCTGGCTAAAACTTCTATATTGAATGTAGACTATATTGTATAAATAGTCCATATATATCCTATATAGACTATATTGTGTATATATATATGACTATATTGAATAGCAATGGTGAAAGTTGGCAATGTTGTCTGGTTATGGATTTTGGTGGAAATGCTTCCAAGTTTCCTCTATTCATTAAGATGTTGGCTGTGGGTTTGTCATAAATTGCCTTGATTGTGTTGAGGAATGTTCCTTCTATACTCAATTTAAAGTTTTCACAAGAGAAGATGTTGTATTTTATCAAACACTTTCTCTTCTGTTCATGTCTATTAGGAGTTTATGTGATTCCTGTGTTGTTCTTTTCTTTATTCTAACTAGGTAAATTTTCTGTTATTATTTCACTGAATAGACCTTCTAATTCATTTTCTCTTTCTAAACTTTTTTTTTGGGGGGGTACAGGGACCCAAGGACTTGGGCCACTTTTTTTTTTTTTTTTTTGGACAGGCAGAGTTAGACAGTGAGAGAGAGAGAGAGAGACAGAGAGAAAGGTCTTCCTTTGCCATTGGTTCACCCCCCCCCCCCAAGTGGCCGCTACGGCCAGCGCATTGCGGCTGACGCACTGCGCTGATCTGAAGCCAGGAGCCAGGAGCTTCTTCTAGGTCTCCCATGTGGGTGCAGGGGCCCAAGGACTTGGGCTGTCTTCCATGCTTTCCCAGGCCATAGCAGAGAGCTGGATAGGAAGACCAGCCGGGACTCGAAATGGCACCCATATGGGATACTGGCACTGCAGGCAGCGGCTTTACCTGCTACGCCACAGCGCCGGCCCCAAGAAGTTTTCTTTTTAATTATATGGAAAGCAGAGTGACAGAGAGAGGTGAATAGAGAGTAAGAGAGATCTTCCACCCACTGGTTCACTCCTCAAAAGGCCACCACAGCCAAGTATGTCAGGCCAAAGCCAGGCATCAGAAACTCGATCTGGATCTCCCACGTAGGTGACAGAGACCCAAGTACTTGAGCCATCATCTGCTTCCCCCCATGTACATTAACAGGAAGCTGTATAACTTAGACTTGAACTAGGCACTCCAGTATGTGATGCAGGGTTTTCAAGCAGTGCTTAAACCATTGCACACATGGCCTGCCCTTGCCTAATTTTTGACCCTAGAATGTACACTTCTGCATTTGCAAACATCTTCTGCCTGGTAGTCCCCTGAATGGGTGGCATGCATTCCTGAGAAAATAAGCCCTCGTGTGCCCATCCCCTAGTCTTCTACTGAGAGACCTGAGTATGGATCAAGGTGCAACTATTTGTAACTTGGGCCTGACCAGGCCCTGAAGCCTGAGCCAGAAGCTCCTAAAAGTAAATAAATGAACTCCCCTTGTGATAAACTCTCCTAGCAACAGCCGATTAGCAGATAACAGAGAAATACCTAGAGTTCCTGGTGTCTTCTCAGGGCAGTTTAGGTGATTGATAGCTTCCCGAGACCCTGCGGGTTGGCACTACACCCCAGCAGCTCGGACCCTATGCTTCGGCCAATCAATTTAAAAGGCATCAACCCCAAAGCCATCCAACCACCTTTACTAGGTCTGTTCCTGCCTGGATGCACTAATCAGTTCTAAGAGATGTTCTTTGAATTTCCTGCGGGATGAGATGATTTGCTAAATGGTATTATAATGTATAGAATGCCTCTAAAAACCCTATAAAAACCCTGTTAACTCAAGAGTCGGGGCTCTCAATTCAAATTCGCTGCATCGGTGATAGTTGAGAGCCCAGGCCTGGACCTGTAATAAAACTCTCATGTCTTTTACAGCGGTATCAGCTCCTTGGTGGTCTTTGAGGACAATCGGACTGGGCATAACATTACCTCCAAGTGGCAGAATGTTCCTGGGATCAAACTGTGTTTCTTGAATGGAAAATGAGGAGAGACCTGAAAAAAGCAGTGCATGGGGCCAGCACTGCAGTATAGCAGGTAAGGCTGATGCCTGTGGTGCAGGCATCCCATATGGGCACCGGTTCAAGTCCCGGATACTCCACTTCAGATCCAGCTGTCTGCTATGGCTTAGGAAGGCAATTGAGAGTGGTCCAAGTCCTTGGGCCCCTGCACCTGTGTGGGAAGACCCAGAGGAAGTTCCTGGCTTCTGATTGGCACAGTTCTGGCTGTTGCTGCCGACTGGGGAGTGAATCACCGGATGGAAGACCTCTCTTTCTCCCTGCCTCTCCTTTCTGTGTGTAAATCTTTCAAATAAATAAATAAATCTTTAAAAAAAAAAAGCAGTACATTTCAGTAATCAATAGGACTGGCCTGCAGGGTCCACCTACTAAGAAATACCAGCCCAACACAGGAATCACTTCCACTAATACTTCACTATACTGATCTGGTCTTGCATGATTTAAATCCTTACAGGGTCAGTGCCTTTCATTTTCATTCACTATGGGATGCCGGCGCTTCAGGCCAGGGTGTTAATCCACTGAGCCACAGTGCCGGCCCCAGAACAGGTCCTCTTAAAACTTTGCTGGGGTCTGGGCAGGGAAGCAGAAGCAGCAAATCCCA